TGTGATGTATAAAATGGATGTTTTTGATTGTCATGGTATTATCATTCCACCTCAAATTCTAGAAAAACAGTTTGACTGGATCATGAAGAATGCTAGCATTCATGAAGGTATTTTTATCATTTTCTTAAGTACGTTTTTAAGCATGACTCTAGAAACTGATTTCAGATATTATTTGAATATAGAAAGGACATATTAGAATATTTCAGATTGCTGGAATCTTTTAAATGTCAGCTTAAAGTGTAGTAATATATTTTGTCACCATTAAGCTATACCATGTTCCTGAAAGTCTCATAGAACTGTGCTTGGCACAGTGGCAATTTTATGTGATCAGAATGTGGTGATATATATGTCAAGCTACAAACTCTATGATAGTAACTGTCTTCATGAAATCTATTCTTGTGTTTTCAGACAGTTTATCTGATATGTGTAAAGCTATACCAGCTTTAACTACTTTAGAAAGAACCAAGGCTGCTCAAGTCAGAAAAGAACATATGACTGTTGGAGTGAATAAGGAATCTCTTAATGATCTTGAAAGAGCCATTGTATTCGTAAGTTGATTATATTTTATATGTTTTCTTTAACTTAACTTCAATTATTGACCACTAACTTTGATTATATCAGTGATTCAAGGTCCAAAAGGCATGTACAGTTGAAATGAGAATTATGAAATTGAAATAGCATCAAAATGATATTTGTATTATTTTAGGTAACATTAGATACAAAACAAATTGATGACATGTCTGCTAGAGGGAAGTATTTATTACATGGTGATGGAAAGAGTATGTGGTTTGAAAAGTCTATCAATATGGTATTTTTTGCTGATGGTAGAGTAGGATTTAATGGTGAACATTCCTATGCTGATGCTCCTGTTGTTGCTCATTTACAAGAGTATGGCATGTTGAAAGAGTAAGTGAATTTATCAAATTAAATTTGATATTTTTGTATAGTAAAAGGTCACATGTGAGGTTTTTTTGTCACAATGAATTGTCTATCACACAGATTTCTAAAATGTTTATGTTTATGGGAAAACTGATAACACCATTCCATTTTCAGTCAGGCATCTGTGGTTTCTGCAAAAAATAAGTGTTTGATGACGTCACTAAGCACAAAATTTGCTTTATCACATAAGGCTCTGCGCAATTAGTGACAACACTTAGTTTCAGTGGACTTGCAGAAACCACAGATGGCTGACTGAAAATTGGAATGGTGTAAATTGACGCTATAATTGTCTCCTATACACATTTTAATTATAAAACTTCTTTACAATCCCTTTAAGGCCAGATCTTTGAGAATATATCTTTCAGAATAAAAGTAAAAGAAATTATATCTTGATAGGTTTATCATATATCTACAATACAAAGTATATAAGAATAGGATATTTAGATAGCAATAATTATCTCAACATGAACCTATATTTCGATACAATATGATATAGTTTTATGCATTGGAGGCTTGTTTGTTTTTGTTATCTTTTAAAGGTGATGATGTATTAAATTTCTCTCTTTTGATAGAATTATAGATGATTTATATTCTCGTGATGGCCATGTCAAACCAGTTGATGCACCTTCATCTTTAATTATCACTAAACCTGAACGTCTGGTCTGGTATGTACAAGATGAGTTAGCAGCAGAAATCAGACTAGCCTTAAAATCAGCTCAATTAGTAAGTCATTTCGCTAGCTATATATCATGATAAACAACATCTATAATTAACTAACATTAATCATAAATAAAACAATACACATAAATGATAAAGAATATAATAAATGATAGTTTCCATATTAGCAGCTTACATTGAGTACATTTATATTTTAGCTAAATTTAGTGTCACATATTAATTTGTTGTTGTTAGGTGAAAAAAGTAGTCCGATTTTATTTTAAAAACTATTCCTTCAAGTGCTTCTGGAATGATTGTATTACTTTGAGCAAAATGAATGTCAAAATCAAACGGACTCCGTTAAAGGCATGCTAGAGCTCTCAAAATATATTGGATAATGAATGACATACATTATTTAATGTAACTGTGTCAATATTGTCACATGATTCTGGTAATTTAGATATCAGAGGCTGGACTACAGGAAAGTCCATGAAAACAAAATATCCGTAAGAATTGTATTCAAAATATAAAATGTATCATTAGATAGCAATAGTCAAAATATAATAGCATTAAATGCATATATGTAAGTGTCAGAATTATCTTGCAAAGTCTCTAAATTTAAGGACTATATTAAGATCACTTGACTAATCACTATTAAATACCGGAAGTAACAAGTCCTGCCAAGGAAGACACAACAGAATTCACCATTCAAATCTGACTCAGATTCAACTGTACGGAAACTGTCGAGGATTGCTGAATGAGCCAAAATAAGCCATTTTCCTAGCAAAAAGTGTATTTACTATAATGGAAATAAATTTGTTGTAGGCTATTGATGATTTAGAGTTATGTATAAGAGATCACACTGCTTATGGTAAAGGATTTATCAAAGAATGCAAGGTAAATTTTTATACTAATTCAAAAGTTATTTTTACTTTTTTGTTCACTTACTTCTGTAGTAGATTTAGCTTTATGTTTCTTATCAGGAAATAATAGTGTTTGATGCTAGTTTCACTCTCTCGCTGCAGGGATTCTAGAATTGGATATTTTTTAGTCATTTGAAATATTAACATTTCTTTTTCATTGCATGTTATTTTGCTATAAGTCTTCAGAAATTTAATCATGACCCCTTGTTCATTTCTTAGTTTTGGGAGATACTTTATCTTGTTTAAATGCTTTTGTGTGTAAGGAATGTTTTTTTAAAGAGGACAGATTAGCCATTTTCAGGGTCTGAATG